CGACGACACTTTGCTCGTAGTGACCGGTCGCGGGTGGGCAGAGGTTCGCGAACGCGCGAAACGGGACTTAACGCGACGGTGGAGGCCATCCGGGACACCGGTCTCCGGGTGTCTCTCCGAAGACGGAAGCTTGCGGGTTTCATCGTCCGCGAAACCGCGTCCTCGTTACCGTGAACAACGCAAGAATCGGACTGGGTGGCTCGCTGAAATACTTGGGTTTAGTTCTCGATTCCGGCCTTCACTTCGGGGAACATCTGGCGCACCTCGGATCGAAGATCCGAGCCGTTAGCGCGACGTTAGGACGCCTGATGCCGAACCTGCGCGGACCGCAGGTCAGGGTCAGGCGATTATACGCGACGGTCGTTCACTCCATGGCCCTGTACGGAGCTCCGATTTAGGCCGAGTGGGTATCGGCCTAAACTCCCACTTTCGCCCACTAAACTCCCACTTTAGCCCATTTAACTCCCACTTTCGCCCACTCGACACCCACTTTCGCCCCCTCGACACCCACTTTCGCCCACTAAACTCCCACTTTCGCCCACTCGACACCCACTTTCGCCCACTCGGCACCCACTTTCGCCCACTAAACTCCCACTTTAGCCCATTTAACTCCCACTTTCGCCCACTCGACACCCACTTTCGCCCACTAAACTCCCACATTCGCCCATAATACTCCCCTTATCGCCCACTAAACTCCCACATTCGCCCATAATACTCCCCTTATCGCCCACTAAACTCCCACATTCGCCCATAATACTCCCCTTATCGCCCCCTCGACACCCATTATCGCCCACTAAACTCCCACTTTCGCCCATTTAACTCCCACTTTCGCCCCCTCGACACCCATTTTCGCCCATTAAACTCCCACTTTCGCCCCCTCGACACCCACTTTCGCCCCCTCGACACCCATTTTCGCCCATTAAACTCCCCTTATCGCCCACTAAACTCCCACATAGTCGTAAACTCGTTAGTCGGAGACGGCGGAGTGTTGGTTCTGCGGTGCGCCCGAGGACGACGTCGAACACACAATTGCGACATGTCCCACGTGGGACGTCCATAGGCAGCGGCTAGTCGAGGCCATCGGACCCGACTTGTTGATACGCGGCTCAGTGAACTGGTTGCTCCGCGGACCTCGGGAACGGTCCGTGATCTGGCGATTTTCAGAAGCGGTCCTACAGACGAAAGAGGACCTCGAACGCGAACGGGAAAAATTCGGAGTTCGGCGTCGCGCGCTCCAGGGAAGAAGAAAAAAGAAGGAAAACAACGGCGGCATCGGCGGTGAAGAGGAAACAATCAACGCCTGATCATCCGTGGAGTACGGCGACGAACTTAGCTTTCTTGGGAGCTCGTCGATCCCGGATGATCCCTCGTCTGTCTTTCTCCCCCACAATACCCTTGTATTAGATGATGCGATCAACTAACACTTAACTTTTAACTTTGCCCTTTTCAGGAGACGACGGTAAGTCTTTATCCCCCACCCGATCGCATTCTCAGGAAACAGGCGAGTTGCCCATCTTTTCCCCCCAGCGAAGGACCGGAGGACACTCCCGAAAGGGACTTGCCGAACGTCCTGGGAAATGCGTTCTCGTCTTCGAGGTGACGGCGGAACGAAGACTAGGGCGAATCTCCCACCAAAGTAATCGTGTAGAACGGTAACGTTCTGGCTTCCCGGAGAGGGGACTGACTGAAATGTAGGTACGACTCCAACGAACGTCCCCCCCTCTTTATATAAGCCACGCTATTGCGACATGCTCAGGAGTTTTAGTGGGTATGGTTCCCGGTTAGGCCTTCTTTCGAATCCCATACCGAGCCCCACACTCTCTCTTCGGAGGGGTTGTGCGTAATCTGCATTTCTCCTGAGATATCAAAAAAAAAAAAAAAAAAAAAAAAAAGACCCCCCAAGGTTATGTGTCAAGCTTCTTTTGGCACACAAAATGCTGCAGACGGTTTTCGACGCACGTATGTGACACACCTAGCTTCTTTGCAATGTCCCTTGTCGAACTATGCCGATCATTAACAATTATGGCCTTTATTTGGTCATCATCGACCTCCACTGGACCTCCAGAGCGCTCCTTTTTTTTGACACCAGTTTTGACACTGCCGTTCTATTGAGGCTTCATCACACTACACAGCCCTCAACTTTTTATGGGCTTGCAAAGCATTAACACCCTTTCAAAAATAAAAAAGCAATACGTGGAGGAAATGCTCGCTTTGGCTTCGCATTTTTAAGTGTCTTTTGTTCGCGCACTATTTAAGAGTTCAATGAAATTTTGGTACTGAATGTTACAGAAGGAACCAAATAATAACATGTGAAAAGTTCATGTCTGTGCAAAAATTTAAACGTACTCAAAAACATGTTCAAACTATCCGTTGGTAAAATCCATAATTACTTACCGGCCAACCCAACATAATACGAAAATTATTAAATTAAAGAAGTTTTTATATAAAAATTTACTTTAAAACAGATTCGAACAACAGTACTCCTCCGCACAAAGTTCCACAAGCCACTCTTGATCCATCTCTTTTCCAATGCAAAGCGGTTATAGTGTACAAATTTTTAATTTCCTTGCTAGTACTTTCTTCCCAAATCCCTTTAATGGAATTCCAACTTAGTAATCTGATTCTAAGGAAATGAAATCAACTTATTAAATTGAAAAAATTTAATTGCTTTAAATAAATTTTAATTTATATATATAAATATTTAATCGAGAAAAACCTGTCAAAACTTCCGAGTGCTACGGCTTGTCCGCTTGGTGAACAACAAGCAACGGTAAATCCCTTTTCGTTTTCTTTATTGTAGTCTATAGTTCTTAAAATTTTTCCGTCTTTTTCGTATATGGTTACTCTTTTATCGCAACCGGCAGTCAAAATATGATTAAGAGTCCAAGCGAGAGCATACGGTGGAGATGAACAAACTAAGACTTTACCTTGAGGTTCCATTGAAGAATCATCAGAAACATAATAACGAACAACCGTTCCGTCCGCATGTCCGGATAAAAAACCGGTACCCTTAAAGCTACAAGATTAGGAAATAAAAAAATTATTAAAATTAAAAAATAAAAATAAAATATAAGTCTTTAAACTAACTTTGATGCTAAAGAGACCACAAATGAGTCTGTAGCATACAACGTTGAAGCTTTATTGGTTTTACAATTTCCTAATCTTACTTTGCCATCCGCTGTGCCAAAAATAAGAGATCCTTGGGAAAGCCAAATGAGATTTGTAATTGCAGAACTCACGGCAAACTTATTACAAATAACTTTTTTATCACCCCTAAAAATTACAATTTCAGTAAATTTGTCATTTAGTCACGTAAAAAAGTTTTTTTTTTTTTTACCGAAAAAACCTAATTATTTTATTAGTTTAAAATGGAAACTCACCATCTTTCACCAATTTTATAAACGTAAACGATATTATCTGTTTGTCCCACGGCAATTTTGGTCGAATCAGGTGAAAAAGCAATACATTTAACGGAAAAACTTTTTTTCCCATACTAAAAGATACAGAGATACGATGTAAAAATTAAACTCGTTAAATGTTTTTTTTTATTTTATTTTTTACCTTAGAATCAGAAGGTTTAAGTGAAAATTTGTCTTTTTTATCACCTTTATCATCAAATAAAGATATTGTGCGATCCGCTGTGGCAACTGCCAATTTCAAATTGTTGGGAGACCAACATAATCCCACTACTTTGACAGATGTATCCTAATAAGAATTTAAAATTTAAGATTTAATACCTATAGTTAGTAATAGGTCCTGCAATAGGTTAAAAAATAAAAAGAAATATCATGTACCTGAGGAGAAATGACACTTTGAAGATACTTCAACTGCATTTAAATCAAACTGAATAATTAACGATATACCTGCAAAGAATCATAAACCATTGCGGTTATGTGTTTCAAAATTCATGTAAGTGAAGTTGCTTAGCAACGAAATTCTAGTGCCACGACTTAATAATGAGTGCACCATAATGGAATTGTCAAGGTGATTTTAAAGTGCTGAAAGAATTCAATATGTTTTCAGGTGTGACATGATTTTACGTTTTCTTATTTAATACGCAATTTTTACAGTCATGATTGTTCAGCAGTTTACTTTATTGTTACTTACTCAAATCTGTTTTGCCCAAGAACTCTATGAAGAATTCTTGGGTCATGACAACAACCTTGATCAACGATTTGGATTGGAAACGAATAATGATATATATTTTAAGAAATATTTAAAATTAGAAGAGGAAAATAAGATTTTATCGCGAAAAGAAAGAAAAGTCATTTTCAATAACAGTTCGTCATCAACCAAATCTAATGTCAGTTTTCGAAATGCTTCGCACGTCAATAATTCCTTATCAAATTCCATACAGTCATCTCCGTCGTCTTCAATTGTATCAGCGTCATCATCATCATCGTCGTCATCGTCATCATCAACTTCAACCACAACTTCAAAATCACCACCGATTTCTAAATCAACTCAAGCGTCACCATTAGGGTCTTCAACTTCGTCAACAACATCTACAACTTCTTCGCCCTCTTCTTCAAAAAAACCTCAGACAAATATTACATCATCTACTGCTCCAATAGAACCAGTTCTACCAGACAAACATGCACTTGAAGATGAACATAACAATTCAATGTCAATTTTTTTTGTTTTGTGTGTTCTAGCTCTTGGGATTTTATTAATTCATTTAATGCTTCAAACAAATTTTCAGTACCTTCCAGAAAGTGTAGTTATTGTTTTATTAGGTGCTCTAATAGGTCTGATTCTTAATCTAATGTCAAATCAAAATATTGCCAACTGGAAAAAAGAAGAAGCTTTTTCTCCCAATGCTTTTTTTCTTATCCTTTTGCCACCTATAATATTCGAATCTGGTTATAATTTACATAAGGGAAATTTTTTTCAAAACATAGGTTCCATTTTAGTTTTTGCCATATTTGGTACTGCAATATCAGCATTTATCATAGGGGCTGGAATATATTTACTTGGATTGGCCAAAGTTGCTTATAAACTTTCATTCGTAGAGAGCTTTGCATTCGGTTCATTAATATCAGCTGTTGATCCAGTTGCCACAGTCGCAATTTTCCATGCTCTCGATGTTGATCCAGTTCTCAACATGTTAGTTTTCGGAGAAAGTATATTAAATGATGCCATTGCTATAGTTTTAACATCATCCATATTTGAATCCAGCAATCCAAACATGTCATCATCTGAAGCCATTTTAACTGGACTCAATCGATTTTGTCTCATGTTCTTCGCTTCTGCAGCCATAGGAGTTTCATTTTCTCTTGTTAGCGCTTTACTGTTGAAACATGTAAATTTAAGAAAAAACCCATCATTGGAATTTGGTATTATGTTGGTCTTTACATATGCTCCCTATGCATTAGCTGAAGGGATTCGTCTCTCTGGAATCATGGCAATATTATTTTGTGGTATAGGAATGTCTCATTACACTCATTTCAATCTTTCGACAGTCACACAAATTACAATGCAACAAACTATGAGAACCATGGCTTTCATTGCTGAAACTTGCGTCTTTGCTTATTTGGGATTAGCACTTTTCAGTTTTAAACACAGGGTCGAACCAGCTCTAGTCATATGGAGTATTGTTTTATGCCTTATAGGAAGAGCTTGTAATATTTTTCCTTTGGCATTTCTAGTCAATAAATTCAGAGAACATCAGATAACGAAAAAAATGATGTTTATTATGTGGTTTAGCGGTTTAAGAGGTGCCATTTCATATGCTTTATCTCTTCATTTGGAATTTAGCGATGAAACACGTCACGTAATCATAACAACAACATTGATAATAGTTTTGTTTACAACATTAATATTTGGTGGATCAACAATGCCGTTAATGAAGGTAAAATTTTAATTCGAAATTAAATAATAATTTAAAACACTTTTCAAACAAACAAAAAAAAAATTGTCTTTACAGTTTTTACAAGCGGGAAGAAAAACTAAAAGCCGTAGAAAAAGAAAAGAAAAAGAAATATCATTGAGTAAAACAAGAGAATGGGGTCAAACAATAGACTCTGAACATTTATCACAAACGGAAGAAGAATTAGAAGTTAATTTTTTTCAATCAAGAATAAAAGGCTTTGCAAAATTAGATTATAAATATTTCAGACCTTTTTTCACGAGAAGATTTACGCAACAGGTATAATAAAAACGTTGTCTTTTTTTTTTTTAAACTTATTTATTTACATTATATCACGTGAAAGGGAAAAATTATTTTCAGGAATTGAAAGATTGTAAAAGTCAAATGACGGATTTAACGAATCAATGGTATCAAGCTATAAGAGTTTCTCCAAACGAATCAGACAACGAAGAATTAACGTCCGTGGATGTTAAAAACTCTCATCAACACTAATCAATCAAATTAGTTTAGTATACGCTATATTAAAAGTATTATTATTATTATTGTTTTAACGAATGTAAAAGTATTATAAAAAAATTTTAATAATGATAATAATAAATTTTATGAATATTTTAAATGTATAAATTATTATCCGTATTAGTCTTTTAATGAAGTTTTTACGTTTGAGACGACATAAATAAACATTAAAAAAATATAATATTGTTAAATAATACTGATAACGTGATAACACAAACATACATTTAGGTAGTTATTAAAAAAAAAAAATCAACTTGAGAAAAAAATAATTTAAATAAGTAAATACATAATAATAATTCAAGCAACAATAATTTTTTATTTATATTTTTAGCAATATAAATGTACACGTCAACATAATATTGGAGATCATGAAAAAAATAATTTTTTTTTTTTTTAATATTATTATTATTATTATTATACATTTTCTTTTTTTCATATTAATAATAATATATATATAAACATTATATATATATATTTTTTTTAAAAAAATTTTTTTTTACAAACGGAGAAAAAATATATTTGTAAGTACAATAAAGAGTTTTCGTTATGAAACAATAAAAAAATATATAATAATAATAATAATAATAATAATAATAATAATAATTACTATTACAATTTAATTAAATTATTATTATTATTAATAATAATAATATTCACCGTTCAAGACCTAACAACGAGGCACAATTAAAAATTTTTTTTTTTTTTTTATAAGAAAATATTTCAATTTTTTATATAATTATTATTATTATTTATTATTAATTATTATTATTCTCATCGTTACACGACGATTCGATTTATTAATTGAAATGAATAAAAATTTATTTAACAACGAACAACGATGAAAAAAAAAAAAAAAATTATTTTTTAAAGGCACTTATTCGGTTTTTTTTTTTTTTTTTTTTAATAAAGCAAACAACGTAACATTACATAATAATAATAAAAAAATATTATACATAATTTATTTATTTATTTACTAATAACGTCATCAGGCCATTGAGTGAGCAAATTATTTTTACCCTAAAAAAAACAAAAATTTATTAAACGATTTCATCATCTTATTTTTGTTCTACCCTTTTTTCTTTCTTACTTTTTAATAATAAATTTTAATAAATTATTATTAAAAATATAAAAAAATCGCATTTAATAATAATAATAATAATAATAATAATAATAATAATACCATCGATTACTTCTATTACTACTACATAATTTTTGATTGTTTTTAAAAATAAATGTTACGTATGATTATTTATTTATTTTTTATTGTAAATTGTTTTTCATTTTTTATTTAATTAATAAATAAAAATAAACGAAAACGACAATTTTTTTGATTTATTTATTTATTTATTAATTTGAACAAAGCTCATTTTAAAAATATATCAAAGCACCATTTTATTATTATTATTATTTATTTATTGTCATCACCTTTTCGGTTATTTTTCAGGGATTAATAATTTTTTTCCCGGTATTTGATATATTTTTAAAATTATTATTATTATTATTATTATTAATTGTGTTGTCTTGGCTTTGCCTGGGAGAGAGCGAAAGACAAATATCGCCGACTTTTAGACGACAACATTGTAACCCGTAGCAATTCATTGTTCTTTCTGGAGAACAAGATGTCCAACCTTGTCCATAAACATAATAAGGATATTCTAAAGTCGATTCCATTTCGATCTGTAACAAACAACAACAAACATTTAATTTATCATTATCATTATTTCGTGTAACGCGTTTTAAAAAAAAAGTTTTCCGTACGTTTCCTGGAAATGTTTGTTTTTTTTAAAAATAATTTCAGGTACGATAAAAAAAAAAATTAATTCGAAGAATAAAAAAAAATTCTCGGGATTTTGTAATTAAATATATATCTATAATTTAAAACGTTAATAAATTACTAAGAAAAATTAATTTTCGCAAAGTTTTCTTAAAACAAAAACATAAACATGGGGATTCGTGCAATATCATCAATTAAAAAATATCCAACGTAAAAAAAAAAATTTTTTTCCAGGCTGAATTTTAAAAAAATCCCTCCTTCCTCCCTCTCTCCCTCTTCCTCCTCCTTTTTACTACATAAAATGATTGATAGCTGACAATATACAAAAAAAAGTCAAGAAAGAAAGAAAAAAAGTTGCTGGATTATCCCATTATTAAGAAAAAAAAAAAAAAAGGTGGTGGAATCTCTCGTTGTCGAGGATGCAGGGATTCAATTCCAGAAACTAGACAATCATGACTTTAAGCAAAGGAGAAAAAAAAAAAAAAAACGAGTTCCTGACATGACACTCCCGGTCATATTTTTTGACGTTTGTTATTAATCATCGTAATTAATTTAAATTTTCCGTACAAATAATAAAAAAAAAAAACAAGAAAGTAAATATGGTGTAGTAGTAGCGCTTCACGGTGAAGGGTATTAACACGGTCAAGGCAACATACGGTTAATAACAATAACAACAACAACAACAACAACCGCCACCACCACCACGACAAACGGTGGGAAGATGATTATAAACAATCTTCCATATGTACATAACGTTGTTTGTATTTTTTTTTTTCGTACGGAGATGAATAGGAGGTGTCATGGCGACGATGAAAGACAACCTTTTTTTTTTTTTTTTTTTTTTTTAAATTAATACATCAAAAAATTTTCTTGTTTAGTTAACAAACCGTTAAAGCGTATTAAATTTAAACACGTATTTGTTTTTTTTTTGTCAAATCGTATTTGATTATTTAATAAATAAAAAAAATATGTTTTTTTTTTATTCATATCATTATTATTATTTTATTTTCACCTACACGCGCGGGTATACCTTCGAACCTGCAACTCCCTGCTCTTTTTCTTTCCTTCTTTTTCTTCTTAACCAAGAATATAAACAGGCTTTAACAATGTTTTTTTTGCTAAACACTCTTTCCCCCCCCCCCCAATCGGAAATTCTGTTTTTCGTTAGGTTTATGTATGTATGTATATAACCACACGCTCTTAAAAAGTAAGTAAGCGATTTGCATTTGAAAAAAAAAAATTATATTTTTTTTTTTTTTGCTGATATTTAGTAAATCGATCCTTTAAAGCCTGAAAATCTTTTCCTTGTTCCCTCCCTACTCCTCTCTCTCCCTCCTTCTAGAGAGAGTCCAACTGGCAAATATTTATGGATTGTAGTCACGGAATGCTGACGTTTAAACAGTGTTGAAAGAAATAACAAACTGTTTTTTTTTTTTTTTTTTTTTTCAACGAAGAATAAACTTTGAAAATTTGCAACAAAAAGTAAAAATAGTTTGGTAATTAAAATGATTTTTTAAGAAAGAGAGAGAGAGAGGGGAGAGAGAGAGAGCGGAGAGAGAGAGAGAGAGAGAGAAACAACTTATTATTAAACTTCTCGAAAAAATTTAATAATTATAATTTATTTTTTTTAAATATATAAAAAAAAAGAAAATTATTTATTAATTATTATATTTGATATCGTAATGGATTTCATCGTTACGTAAAAAATATTCTCGAACGTTCTGTTCGAACATGAAATAATAATAATAATAATAAAGACGATTCGTAAACGTGTCGAACAGGTAAATTGATAAGGGCACGAATAATGTTGTGTCTGTGTCCCGACATATCAATATGAGTTTCTCATTCACAGATTCTAAGAAATTTTAAATAAAATAAATAAAAAAAAAAAAAAAATTTTTTTTTTTCGAATTGTTTCCAACTGAAAGTTACTACTCTAGTCGGTTGTTGTTTAAAAAAAAAAAACCGACAAACACGTTCCCCTTTTCACATTTAAATATTATTTATTCAATAAATTATGATTTTTTTTTTTTTACAAATTATTTATTTATTTGTAAATAATAATAATTTCCAACGATTGTCAAATGACAAAGAAAAAAAGGGATACTAAAATGCCACAAATAACTAATTGATGTTGATGTAACTAATTAGAACTTTTAGTTTTTTTACAGTAAATTAATGACGACAATAAAACCCTAATTGAAAAATTTTTCTCGACTACTCATTTTCCCTTAGCAAAAAAAAAAAGAAAAAGAAAATCATTTACTTCTTCGACAAGTTCTCGTACGTAAATACGAATTTAAAACTTTAAGTTAAAAAACTAAATAATTAAGTTAACTTAAACATTGTTGAAATTTATAACAATTAATAAGAAAATCTCAATGTTTTTTTTTGTTTTTGTTTTTCCATCGTCAACACGCACGCGCACACGTGGGAATACCAAAACTCATTTGGTTTACATCTTTTTAAATTCGTTAGTCTTAGTTTACAGCAAAGTATAGTTTAAAGTAATCCGAATCATCATCGTACGATTGGATGTAAAGACAAAAAAAACAATAAAACGAAAGAGTTAAAAAAAAAAAAAAAAACATGGCAGCCAAAAAAACATCTGCAAATATTTAATTTTTTTCCTTAAAAAAAAAAAAAAAATGTATTTTGACTGAACGTATGCGATTATGTGGGGAGGCGGCCTAACTAACGTCGTATGACGCATCAAATGCTTTCACGTATGTACGTGATTTGACACCATCAAATCGTGATTCACCACCAAACGGTATCTCGTTTTAAAAAAATCTTACTTTAACGTAAAACAAAAATATCCCCGGGGGGTGTAAGAAGAGCCCTCTCCTACACCCCTTTTAAGCGACACCACCCCCACCCGCGTGACAATTTCGTATACTCCACACAATACAATCGTAAATTCACAAGGATAATATTGGAGCAGTTAGATGAAGAACGACTTTTTTAAAAGTTCACGGTCAATTCTCGTGTCTCAAGGTCGCAGATTCAATGTCCCGGAACTTAACCAGCATTACAAACAGTCACGGTTCTATGCTCCTCCTCCTCCTCCCCCCTCCTCCTCCTCCTCTACTACTACAAACAGTGATATTATTTCGGTTCGAATACATTTTCTTTAGTTTTTCCTTCGAATGAATTTAAATTTTGTTACGAATGATTTTTCAAATCGTTGAATAATAAGGGATTCGAAACAAAAGAGAGAGAAAAGGAGGGGGGAAAGAGAGAGGGGAGGGGAGGGAGGAGGCGATCACACGAGAGATCATGCAAAGATTCATACGTATATGATGATACGAAATGTAAATTTAACATTTACATATTAATAATACATTTAAATAATACAATTAATTGTATTATATTTACATAATAAAATTCGACGACACGTGATTTTATATTCTTTTATTAATTATGTATAATAATAATAATAATAATTTTTTAAATTTTATATGAAGTAAACGAAAATTTTATTTCAACTTTCACGTAATTTGATATCGCGGTAACATAATTTACACCTGTTTTTACGTAAATAAAAAATTTTTTTTTTTGTTTTGTTTGTTTGTAATCATAAAATCAAATTATTATGCTTAAAAGAAAAGCCCTTATTCGTAAATCTCAGAATTTGTTTTTTTTTTTTTTTTTTATTAAAATAAAAAGTGTAAATAAAATAAAAACCTTTTACCGTAGTAGGTTTGTGTGTGCGTGCGTGTGTTTTCTTTTATTAGAAAAAAAATTACGGTAATAAATTTTTCTTTTGAAACGACCGCAAATTAATTAATTACGTAAATAAAAATTTATTGTACTCACTGTTTTTTTATTTTCCCCGTAACTAAGCGTAAGTAAAACAGTCCCGTTGTTGTTCTCTGTTATTCTGACGACCGTTGATGGATCTAACCTAAATGCTGGACATTTTTCAGCAGAAGACACTAGTTCTTCCGTCGTCACATCTTCAACCCTTCTTAAGTCTCCGTTGGCCAATTGGATAAGGGAGCCCTTTGTAAAATTAGGCGGAAGTAAATTATTATTATTGTTATTTACATTCGACGTGAGCGTCACCCGTTTTGCTGTATTTTTACCGGAACTTAATAACCTTTGACGTCCGTTTGTTTCTTTACATGAAGGTACTTTAAATGGTCTCTTTTCTCTCAGGAGAGATGGAGTTGTTTTAGTTGTTGTTGCGGGGGGAGGTGGGGGCGGCGGAGCTGATTGAATGGGATTCGGATTCGCGTAACTTCCGGGTGGTTGTATGAAAACGTCTGGACTATTCGGACCACCACCGTTCGTTTTCGGAGGAGGACTAAATTGACTGTCTAAAGGACTAAGGGGAGTGGACCCGATGTAGGTGGGACGGCTCAATAATGACGAATACGAGCTCGGATATAGGCTACCGTAAGGATTTTGAAGGCTCGGATATGGGAAAGCCGGAGGGGGATACATTCTGGAACCGTATCCCGCCGTTAAATGTGGAACTTGTATATTAACACTAGTCGATATGTGGTTTTCTCCTGTAATTTTCCCACTTTCCAATTTACCGGAACTCAAATTCATGGGCCCCGACACCGAAGTCGTAGACACAGGTACAATCGGATAGTCTTTTCTCGGACTCTGAGAAGGCGATGGTCTCTGGCCGTTGAATCTAGGAACGAGAGGTGCGGGTTTAGCAAAAGGACCCATAAATTCAGGAACCGAACTCGGCAGTTTGCTTCTAACGTATGGATCGACGAATGTCATATGATGTAAACTTCCAGGTCCGGGTCCGGGTCCAGGTCCTAAACCGTGACCGTGATGTTCATCGAGAACCAAACTGCTAGCAGAAATCATATTGCGAATCTCTGAAAAAAAAATGCAAATATTATGAATTAACATATTATATCACCTAAAAATTCTATTTTTGGTTATCGTACGTCAACTATTAGATAATCAAAATTTTTTTAGGACACCGAGTTATCATCCGTACAACAATACCTTTTTTTTTTTTATAATACAGACACTAATAAACGATAAAAATAATAATAATAATAATAACAAAATCAAAATAATTTAATATAAAGTTTGTGTGGAGAGTTCATTGAAGAAATACTTAACGTAAACATTTAAAAGTTTATACGACTCAATTGAATTATCAGCCTTATTAAATTATTCCAACGGTTAAAACAAAAACAAAAAAAATTTATTTATCATCATCATATCAAACCAAAAGACCATCAAATACAACAACAAGTTACAAAAAAAAAAAAAAAAACAAATAATTAATATTTAGCAAATTTGCCTAATAAATTTTCTTGTTCGACAAAAAATACCTCAGGGCCGATTCATCATCAATAATAATAATAATAACGATTCATTATATTGCTGATGAATTTTCCATAATCGAATTATTTAACCTTACGATGCGTTTATTTCAAGTTTTTTTTTTTTTTGCCAATGAGCAAAAAAAAAAAAACTTCGTGTTAAATAATAATAATAATAATATTAATAAAATTGTCCATTGAAGTTGTCGTGTTTGATACAAAAAAAAAAAAAAAAACGGTACGAAAGACGTACCTTATACCAAATTCTTCTACCTCTTTAATAATAAAATTATTTATTTATTTATTTTCATAAAGTTTTCCTTATTTTATTTATTTATTTATTTTTTTAAATAAAATCGAGTGAGAGATTTCAATAATTTTCGGCAAATTAAATTTTTTTTTTTTTTATTATTAAATTTGCAGAAAAAAACAAGAATTTTATTATTATTATTATTATTATTTCTTATATAGAATTTAAATAACAAATGTGGATTTTCAACTAATAATAATAATAATAATAAAAAACCATAAGAATATTTTACATATGAATTCAATTAAATGTTATTAATTTTTTATTTATTTATTTTAATTACGAACAGATTTTTTTTATAAATAAATAAATTTATTTAAATTTGACGAGTTTTTTTAAAGAAATGAAATAAAAACATTAAAAAATTTTTCCATTTGTATAATTATTTAATTATTAAATCGAAAAAAATTTCATTTTCAAACGTCGACAAAATTAAATTTAAATAATAATAATAATAATAATAATAATAATAATAATAATAATAATAATAATAATAATAATAATAATAATAATAATAATAATAATAATAATAATAATAATAATAATAATAATAATAATAATAATAATAATAATAATAATAATAATAATAATAATAATAATAATAATAATAATAATAATAATAATAATAATAATAATTTAATAATAATAAAGACGACATTGATTTTATAAATTTAATCAATGACGACATTTTTTAAATATTAATTGTTATCATTATTATTATTATTATTATTGTTTTCAAATGTAAAAACATGTCTGTAAATTTTGTCAATCGTAATTTGAAATAATTTTTTTTTATTACGCTTGTTTGAAAAATAAAAACGAAACCTTAAATTAATATTATTATTATTATTTAAAATAACGTCATTTATCAAAACGTGTTTTCCACTCCTACTTTCCCTTTTCTTTTTCTAAAAAAAAAAAAAAATTTATTTTTCACGAATGTAATTACGTGTTTTTACTCTCCTACGCAAATTTATTTATTTATTTTTTTTTCATCCCTTCAAAAAAAAGAAAAAAAAAGTCAAGGTTGAGTTAATTAAAAATAATAATAATAATAATAATAATAATAATAATAATAATTCGTATATAAAAGCACACGTTATTTGAATTTGTCGGGTCATTTTAATGAATGGCACCCACGGGAATGCATGTATGAAAAGATACGAGAGAGAGAGAGAGAACACGCTAGGCTTAGCGCACGTGCCTTGTTGTGGAATTTATTACTTTTAAAACCTAAAGGCCAGTTAAATAATAATAATAATTATTATTATTATTACTCATTTTTTTTCCATGATGTTAATTAATGATTCGTTCAACAATCCATCGATCCATCGATCAATCAATCAATCAATCACATTCAATTATAATCGAATGTTAAAAATCGTAATAAAAAAAAAAAAATTAACTGGAGAAAAAAAAAGGAGGGGGGGGGGAAACTGGAGTGAATCGATTCAGGTGAAGAAGATAGTAGGTCAAGATAGATGTCCTGCTACCATAGCAACCATTGAAGGCGTTTTCCTGTTTCTGGCCTTTCCCTTCACTTTTCAACCCCGTCACGATTTTTATTTAAGACTGTCCCGAGACTACCTCAATTCGTATAATTTCCTCACCCCTCCTCACCTCTCACCCCCCCTAACACAAATCTATGAAAAATATGTGGAAAAATAAGAGAAATAATAATAATAATATTAAATTCACTGGGCATGACGATTTAAGAGGGTAAAAAGTTACAAATTCGAGATAATTTTTGCCCATCACGTGTGTCCATCCATGTTTACTTTTTCTTCCACGTGGATAAAAACTTTTAATTATATTTTTCGAACCTTTATAAGATTTCTTTCTTTCTTTTTTTTTTCTTATGTTTTTCTGACCTTAGCAATTAGTCAGTTTACAAAAAAAAATTTTTAACCTCTTAAATTCCTTTCATTTTTTTTTTCCTCCTCACATTTTATATAAAATTTGATATTTAAATGTTGGAGTCAAAAATAAATAAATAATTTTATTTTTTTAATAAAATAATTTCGATTGAGAAAATCACAACTTTTGATTTTATTTAAAAAACTCCTTCCTTATAAGGAATGTAAAAAAAAAACTTTTTCTACTGCCACGAATTTTCATACAATTAGTAAAAGTGAGTAAACATAACACACGAAATGTTTAATGTTGTTGTTACTTCACATTATTGCTAAATTAAATTAAATAAATGAAAAAACATAAACACGATTTGTAATAATTATTATCGTCGTATTTAATTAATAATTTCGCCTCTTTTTCCTCCCTCCCTCCCCCCCTTTACACTAACTCCAACGAAAAGAAATAATAATAATAATAATAATAATAATAATAATAATAATAATAATAATAATAATAATAATAATAATAATAATAAATTAAAATTTGAAAAAAGTTTTTGTGAATAAGGCTCGAAACTATTCGGTAAGAAAAATTATTATATATAAAAAACTTTAAACTAAATAAAAATCTGGAATGATGGATTTTCTTCCCATCCCCTAAAAGTAGTAGTAAGCGTAAAAGTTTTTCTTTTATTATTAAAATCAATGAAATCGTTATAGTAATGAAACGATTTACACTTGGTAAAGCGTAAAATATTATTATTATTATTATTAATTATTATTATTATTATTATTATTATTATTATTATTATTATTATTATTATTATTATTATTATTATTATTATTATTATTATTTCCAAGTAAAATTTTCATCGAAAAGTAATTATAATTAATAATTATCAATTATAAAATAAAAAATAATCAAATGTAATTAATTATTAAAAACGTAATGTCGTTACTGACACATTACACATTAACGCCATTTTTAAATTTTTTTTTACTATGATTGTGATAATAATAATAATAATAATAATAATAATAATAATAATAATAATAATAATAATAATAATAATAATAGTAAAACATTAATTACAACTTTTAGATACAAAAAAATTTTTTTTAAAAGAAAAAAAGTAAATAAAAATTAACCCAAGTTAAGTGTTATAGATAAAGATAATGATGATGATGATGATGCAGCATACGACAAGGTTATCAGTGCATCTATTTTTAAAAAATTGTTATTATTATTATTTTTACAATTATTAACATTATCCGAAAAGAGTGTGTGCGTACGTGCGTGTTCGTGCGTGTGCGTATCGATTTTATTTCATAAAAACGACAGAATAAAACTTAAAAACGTGACAAGAAGGGGGTGGAGAAAAAAAAATCTTTTCTATAATTATATATTTATTTTTTTTCAATTGACATTTTCACTACCTGTTGCTAAACTTAAAATAATAATAATAATAATAATAATAATAATAATAATAATAATAATAATAATAATAATAATAATAATAATAATAATTTTATTCGATTGTGTCGTGAAAAAAATTTTTTTTTTTACTTAATAATATTTTTATGTAACAATCTAAACAAAACAAAAATTTTTTCTCTTTTTTTCATTGAGTTTTTACAATAGAAAAGGGATGAATAAAATAATAATAATAATAATAGAAATTCATACAAATAATCGAATACAAATAATAATAATAATAATAATAATAATAATAGAGAGGAAAAAAAAAAGAAGAAAAAAAATAGTCTGGGAATTTGTTATCAGGTCGTTTATCGACCTGAACTTTAGGCTATCCTAAAGAGATAACAGATGCACTCATAAAAAAAAAAAAAAAAATTGTGTTTGTATGTATGTTTACGCAACACAATCGTTACAAAAGCCTTTAGAAAAAAAAAATCGCTTTAAAAATAATAATAATAATAATAATTACAGGGAAAAAAAATAAAATAAAGTGGAAAATTTTTTCTCTCGTTTTTTGTTGTTGTTGTTGTTGTTTTTATTCCTTATGTAATTACTTTTTTTTTTTTTACCTACCGATATTATAAAAAATCAATTTTTTGTTTAAACGGTTTCTATTTATATTTAATCAATTTTTAAACACCGTAAAATTATCATTAATAAGTTTAATTATTATTATTTAAATGACAAATCAATTTTTTCCCAATGTCAAATAAATTCCCCGTCACCCACTCCCCTTCCCTTTTATTTCCTCTTCCTGATATAAATCGTTGCAAAAATATTTACCTTTTTTTTTTTTTTGTTAATAACAATTCAAACTATTAATTATAAATAATATCCTTTAAAACAAAAAAAAAAAACGAATAAGTAAAAAACCACACCCAAAATCA